CAATCAGGAAGAATCTAAAAATCTCAATAGGCCAATAACTATGGAAGAAATTGAAGCAGTCATCAAAAAGCTTCCAGCAAACAAAAGCCCAGGACCGGACGGCTTCACGGGGGAGTTTTACCAAACATTCAAGGAAGAACTAAAACCTATCCTCCTCAGACTACTACAAAAAATTCAAGGGAAAGGAACACTTCCAAGCTCATTCTATGAAGCCAGCATCACCCTAATACCAAAACCAGGTAAAGACAACACAATGAAAGAGAATTACAGGCCAATATCCCTCATGAACATAGATGCCAAAATCCTCAACAAAATCTTAGCAAATCGGATCTAGCAGTACATCAGAAAGATCATACACCATGACCAAGTAGGATTTATCCCAGGGATGCAAGGATGGTACAATATACGCAAATCAATAAACGTGATACATCACATAAACAAATTGAAAGAAAAAAACCACATGGTCATATCAATTGATGCAGAAAAAGCATTTGACAAAATCCAACAGCATGGACGGAACTGGAGAGCATTATGCTAAGTGAAATAAGCCAGTCAATGAAGGAAAAATACCACATGATCTCACTCATTTATGGATAATAAAGACCATTATAAACTTATGAACAAAAATAGATACAGAGGCAGAGCAACCTCGAACAGACTGTCAAACTACAGCGGGAAGGCCGGGGAGGGTTTCGGGGCGGGAGGGGGGGTGGTAAGAGATCAACCGAAGGACTTGTATGCCTGCATATAAGCATAACCAATGGACATAAGACACTGGGGGGTAGGGGAGGCCAGGGGATTGTCAAGGGCTGGAAAAAAAGGAGACATATGTAATACTCTTTGTAATACTTTAAGCAATAAAACAATTTTTAAAAAAAGAAAACCTTAGGGCTCACTAATTATGACTTGTTTGATTATTTTATGGAATTCAGTAGCAACTGGACTTTATTATAGGTACTGTAAAAAGTCTCTTTTTTAACTTTTTTTGACATAGTATCTCTCTTACAAAAAGCTGAAGAACAATACAAAGAATTCTCATAAACTTTCACTTACATATTATTTTACCACATCTTTTCCCTCAGAGACTTCTCTTTTTCTCCTGCCTTTCTTTCTCCTCCATCTCAACATATGTGTATATATGTATACATACACATATATGTACCTGTTAATATATCTCCTTTAATCTGGAACAGCTCTCAGTCTTTCTTTAACTTTTGTGACTTGACATTTTTAAAGGGAAATGGCTGTTATTTTTTGTGGATTGTCCCTTGTTTTGTATCTTCTGATGCTTCCTCACGATTAGATACAGGATATTGGCAGGACTATGTATGGCAGAGTGATGAGACATGTCCTCAGTGCATTTTATGAGGAAGCATGGATTATCTGTTTGTCCCATGAGTGTCCACGTTACCTTTGATCCTTGATTAACATTTTGTCCATAGGATTTTCTAATGTAAAGGTCCCCCTATCCCTGTCCATATATAATTGAGTATCTTACAGGGAGATACGTTATGACAGTAATATCCTGTCCCCATCCCACTTCTCCTCACTAGTCTCAGCATCTATTGATGATTTTTGCTCAAAACTATTACTATAGTAGTTGAGAATGATGATTTTGATCATTCCATAATTTCTCCTACATTTATTAGTTGGAATTCTGCTGTAAGTGTTTGCAATTCTTTCCCTATTCATTCATTTGTTTATTTGTATCAATTTGGACTCATAGATTCTTATTTATTGTCTGGGTTATAATCCATTGTCTTTATTATTTATTTTGATGCTCACATTTTCCCACGTTTGGCCAGTCGGAGCCCTTTTAGGCTGGCTTCTGCGTCCTTCTGCCATGTCCCTACCAATCTCTGAGTACTTCTTTACTTTTTAAAGAAAAGTACAGCAAGATATTCTAAGTTTATCTAGTACTTTTTCACCCTTAGCCTCATATCCAGTCATTTTCCCAAGAATCCTACTTCTTTTTAGTGGAAAATGAGAAGCCAGAATCTTGACAAACCAATATCTAGGTGTTAGATATGTGTATTAAATTTCTGAAGGACTTTGTCATGAATGGTTTCTTGTTCCACAGAAAGGACTCATAACAAACATACTGGTTGTTTTCAATGAACCTTCCCTTTAAATGCAATTGAAAATCCATGCAGAATTTTTATACTTCTCAACCTGACATACTTGGGCACAAGTTCATAATGGGCCTGACAATTATATAAGAAGATTCTTGGTCAGCAAAAAAATGAATGAATTGCACTTACCTCAGTGTGGTCTTCAATTATTTTAGTTTAGCTATTAATGAACGTGCCATTGAAAGAATGATTAAAATCAAGCTTTTCAAATAAGTTGTTTGTAAAACTGAACACTGTAATTGCAACACTTTATTCTTGTTCAGCAGTAATTATAGTTCCTTAAATATTCTTCTCTTTAGTCACTTGTCAGCTTTCAGCAGCTGGCAAAAGATTAAATATTAAAGTATTTAATTTCTCTGTGTGTGCTGTTGTTTTTTCTTTTATAAATTGAGAACTTCCAATGGGACTATAGTATCAATTGCACATATATATATATACATATACATGTAATTTTTTTTTCAAATAGGGTTAAGCACTGAAGGTAGAAGGGACTTGTTATGTATGTACCCTTTTCAACTTATAGTGTCTCCCAGGGTGTGGTTCTTAACCATACTTGCTGTGCTTTGAAGATACTAGTGTAACTTTTGCAAGAGACTGTTGTATACTCCCACATTCCTGGTGACATATACTGTCCCTATTAATTAGATTTCTGCATAGCTAGAAAGGAATGGGATTTTTTTGGAGTTGTACCAAATAACTTTTTAAATATATTTTTATTGATTTTAGAGAGGAAAGGAGAGCGAGAGATAGAGAGAGGGAGAGAGAGAGAGAGAGACATCAATGATGAGAGAGAATCATTGACTGGCTGCCTCCTGCATGCCCCCTACTGGGGATCGAGCCTGTAACCCAGGTATGTGCCCTTGATCGGAATCAAACCCGGGATCCTTCAGTACACAGGCTGACGCTATCCACTGAGCCAAATCAGCTAGGCTGTAATAACTTTAAAGCTATAAATGATCAACTAGAAAAACAAAAGTTAGTTGGTTACATTTTAACTATGTCTGACATTCAAAACAAACTATGGACAGACTTGGATATAAAGCATTTGAAAAATGGTGTTTGCTCCAGGTCATCCAGCTCAATGGGCAGGCATTTCCCCAGTGGGCTTCATAAGACAGTGGTTCTGAAAGATGTTACTAGGTGTTTCCAGGCCCAGTCAGTTTGAAAACGTTATATGCTAGCTGCTTCTCTTGCAGATTCTTAACACACATTAGCAACATATTAAGGCTTTTGAGATGCCCCAAGGCATAGAAACATGTTAAATCTTTGTAGCCCAGCATTTCCCAAACTTGTGCAGGGGAGTATTTATTGGTTGTGTACTTATTAACAACTGGTATAGACCCTGTGTGTTTTATTCAAGAAATACAGGGCACTGGCTCAGCACAATGCAGAGATAAGAGATATAGCTCATATTTTCAAAGAACTTCTATAAATAGACAAGATTAGAGTTCTGTGATGAGTCCTGTGATTGAGGTATGCTTAGGGTATTGTGAGAACACAGAGAGGGGCATCTGATCTTGCTCACCCTAATCTTCATCCTGAAGAATTGACTTTAGTGCATTTTTATTCATTTATTCCAAAATGTTGGGAGCACCTTCTCTAAGTCGGGCATACACCACACCTTAGGGATTGGTACAGCAATGCACAGAACAGAGGAGAGCTCTTATTCCCTTGGGTCCTATAGTCTAGTGGAAGGAGATAGGCAGGAAACAAGATGAATAAGTATAAGTGATGGTAAGTGCAAAGGAGAAAATTAGAGCAGGGAAGGGATAGGGGTGTGTGTGTGTGTGTGTGTGTGTGTGTGTGTGTGTGTAGGTGAGGTGAGGTGAGGTGGTTGCCATTTAGCTACGGTTGCTAGAGAAAGTCTCACTAAGTCTCACTTAGATAGGTTTGGGTAGACCCAGATGAGGTGAGGGAGCAAACCATGTGATTCTCTGGAACCAAAATGATCCAGGAGATGATGATGTGTCAGTGTGGGTCATCAATTATAACAAATGTTCCACTTTAGTGCTGGATGTTGGGGGAAGCTGTGCATGTTTGCTGTGAACCTAAAACTGTTCTTAAAAAGAAAGTTTATCTTTAAAAAGTGGCATCTCTGTCAGAGGAGATGGGATGCAGATGTGCCTGGCACACTCAGACTAGATGTTTGTTGAATGACTACAGGAATGGTGTTAGGATCTGGAAATTTAACATAGACAGATTTTTTTCTTGCCTGTCAGATTTTCAGAAATGTATTAATTACACTTTGAGGAAAGTAGTTGTGTCTAGCACTCACAAGAATGTAGAAGTGATCCATACAGAAAAATTTAACTCAGAGTACAAAATACTGATTATTTGAGAGTTCCAGAGTCAGCACTATATACTTAGATTTTAAATATGAATTAGAACAATTTAATGCCATTTGAAAGTGTTAGGTGCAATGTAAGATACCTAACTTTCTAATTGTGAATAAGATAACATCCTAAATTTAGAAACCAACATGACTTATTGAATTATCCTTGGAAGTAAAAGGAAAGTTTAGGTACTGAGATTCTATTTATACATAAAGCATGCAAAATCAGAGTAATTTTTTCAAAAGTTTAATTTAATGGGAAACAACTTGCGTGATAGCTCATGTAGCAATTAAATAAAAATTCTATATTATCTGCAGTATTTTAAAGTTCTTACAACTTTGGGTCAGTTTCAGATATGTGTGAACAGCCCTAATAAATTTTCAAAACTTCTAAAGACCCTTGACTGTGACACTCTATTTTTATAATCATTTGCACAAAATCCCCTGTGTTAACAGTAATCGGCAGTGTGAGAATGTGTGAAGGCCGCCTCAGCAGTTCTTAACAGATGGCTCTCTCCATTCATTTTCTCCTACAGGCAAACATGCTGAAGACATATTTGGTGAGTTGTTTAATGAGGCTAACAACTTTTACATCAGAGCAAATTCTCTTCAAGACAGAATTGATCGCCTTGCTGTCAAAGTTACCCAGCTGGATTCAACAGTGGAAGAGGGTATGTAATTGCACAAAAGCAATGAGCTAGCAGTGATCTTGACAACACAGTAGTAATTAATTGCAGGGCAATTACTGCTTTTTCCTTGGGGTACTATGCTGATATTTCATCTTGTCTCTTTCTAGAAGAATAGTGAGGGGGGACAACCCATGACTTTGTGTTAATTAGCAACTAAAAGATTCACTTCAGCCTGGCTGTGTGGCTCAGTGGCTGAGCTTCAACCTATGAACCAGGAGGTCACAGTTCGATTCCCACTCAGGGCATGTGCCCAGGTTGCGGGCTCGTTCCCCAATGTGGGCATGTTGGAGGCAGCTGATCAATGATTCTCATTATTGATGTTTCTGTCTCTCCTCCTTTCCTCTCTGAAATCAATAAAAATTTATTTTAGCCCTAACTGGTTTGACTCGGTGGATAGAGCATTGGCCTGTGAATTGAGGGTCCCAGGTTCGATTCCAGTCAAGGGCATGTACCTTGGTTGTGGGCACATCCCCAGTAGGAGGTGTGCAGTAGGCAGCTGATCGATGTTTCTCTCCCATCGATATTTCTAACTCTCTATCCCTCTCCCTTCCTCACTGTAAAAAATCAATAAAATATATTTTAAATAATTATTTTAAAAAGATTCATATTCATATCATATCTCATATGCTATACGCTCTTTTTTTTAAAAAAAATTTACCCATTTAGTATTTGTTTTAAAGGATTTTTTTGAATGCATTCAGTATTAGAAGTCCTAATTTAGGCTATTAGTAGTTCTTTTAAAGATACTTTCTTACCTAAAAATTACAGAATCAATCCAAAGATATGGTCCAACTAAGAGAGCAGGTTATACATACAGAGTGTGCAAGTGAAGGCTTCTACCCCATATTCTTGTTAGGGTTGATGCCTTTAAATGATCTTGGTGGTTTAACTTCTTAGAAATAGCATTTACTGAAAACCTTCAGACTGTGGGGTCTTAAAATAATGTTCATATTGGCAAGCACTGTATAGTTCACTGTAATCAGCTTGATGATGCACCCTGAAATTGTGGCAGTTTCAACAGAAAACTCAATTCCTTTTTTAAAATTTCACTTTCAATATCTTTTGAGTGAAGGATTGAGATTAGACTGGGGGGAAAATCTGTAAAAAGGTATAAGAAATGCCATTTCATGTTTACTTTGAGAAAAATGTTCAGCTTAAAAATTATTTTACCTTCATATAATGGTAGTTATAGTTGCTCTTATTGCATTAAAATAATCATAGCATCTGATTTTTCTACTAGACGTATAATAGTAGTATTAGTAAAAAGTGAAGGTTTTTTTTTAAATGTGGTTATTTGTAGAAATCATCCCTAATTTAAAAATGTCTTTTTTAAAGGTCAGAATTAAATTAGTGAATTAGAAATTTAACAAAAATGTAGAACATTTAAATTTTAATGTCTTAAATTTAAATCTTACTGACTTTTCCAACAAAAATAGTGGAGCTTTTTAATTTGATTTTTAAAATTAATCTTTTATGTAAAAAACTAAAATTTTAATACCTGTTGGTTTATTCAGAGAAGGAATTTTTAACATCTTAAATCAATCATTCATTTTTCAGATTGCTACCAAATTGATTTTTAAATATTTATCTTTCTTCAGGTTTCTGGATTTTTGTTTGTTTGTTTTTGTTTTTTGTTTACAATGGAAAGTCTTGTGATAAACCTTACACTGGAAAAAGTTAACTTGTGGATTAAATTTTATGAGATTTTACAGTATATCTGAGTTTTAGCTCCATTGGTCAAGTGGGTTAATGGACCAGTTTGCCCACCTCTGAAAACTTGTGTCAAAGTCAGATGAGTTAGTACATGAGATATAAAGTTGTAAAAACATAAGAAGTAAGTAAGCATAATCAGTCCTGATTTTCTTACTCCTTAGTATAGTTTTGTATCATGTACTTAATTTCTAGAATATTTAAATTTTAATGTCTTAAATTTAAATCTTACTGTTGAAAGCTTTGCTGTCTCTCTTTAATGATAGTGTCAGAAAAAAAGTAATGCCTTTTTTTTACAGTTTTTAAATTTTCTGCAGAAATCTTTCCTACATGTATTATAAGTAAAGTAGAGGCCTGGTGCACAAAATTCATGCATGCGGGGGGGGGGGGGGGGGGTGCCCTCAGACCAGCCTGCACCCTCTCCAATCCGGGACCCCTTGGGGGATGTCCGACTGCCGAAACTGGCAGTCGGACATCCCTCTCACAATCCAGGACGCTGGCTCCTAACTGCTCACCTGCCTGCCTGCCTGCTCGCCGCTAACTGGCCCCCAGCCAGCCTGATCACCCCTAACTGCCTCTTTCTGCCGACCTGATCACCCCTAACTGCCCCCCATGCCGGACTGGTCACCCCCAACTGCCCACCCCGCCAACCTGGTCGCCCCTAACTGCCCCACCCGGCCAGCCTGGTTGCCCCTAACTGCCCTCCTGCCAGCCTGGTTGTCCCCAACTGCCCCCCTCCCCCCATCCGTCAGACTGGCGCCCCTCACTGGCCGCCCCCCCCCCCCGCCGGCCTGGTTGCCCCCAACTGTTCCCCTGCTGGCCTGATCACTCCTCACTGCCCCCCTCTGCCAGCCTGGTCACCCCTCACTGCCTCCCCTGCCGGCCTGATCACCCCATGCAGCCTGCTGTTCAGTTGTTTGGTCATCCCTCACTGGCAACCCTGCCAGCCTGTTCGCCCCACGCAGCCTGCTTGTTCAGTCGTTTGGTTGTCCCTCACTAACCCCCCTGCTGTCCTAGTCGCCCCACGCAGCCTGCTTGTTCAGTTGTTTGGCTGTCCCTCACTAACCCCCCTGCTGTCCTAGTCGCCCCACGCAGCCTGCTTGTTCAGTCGTTTGGTTGTCCCTCACTAACCCCCCTGCTGTCCTAGTCGCCCCACGCAGCCTGCTTGTTCAGTTGTTTGGTCGTCCCTCACTAACCCCCCTGCCGGCCTTGTCACCCCACTCAGCCTGTTCAGTTGTCCATTTGGTTGTTTCGGATGTGACAGCCCCTGGCTCTTTATATATATGTACATGGTATTAAGTGTTCGAATGCCTCCCCCCAGGATGCCCAGATCTATGTATTTACATGACTGTTAATACTTATAACTTTATTTCTGTGTGATTTCCAATAAGTCCTATTTAAATGAATAACAATGCTATAATATTAGGTTCCATGGAGTAATTAGATCGCTACAAAAGAAGAGACATGCCTTCACAGAGGTCACTGTGAGTTATGAGAGGGAAGGAACTCACATGCTACTTTAGCATGTCTTTAAATGAAAACAACAACCACATTATTTGATTTTTCTAGGAGATGTTTATGATTGTGACTCAAATTGTACTTATTTGTAAACAGTTAAACTATCTTGATGTTACTCAACTTGGGGACTTTTCTCTAAATAGTGTCACTGCAGGATATCAACATGAAAAAAGCTTTCAAAAGTTCCACAGTCCAAGACCAGCAGGTGGTTTCGAAGAACAGCATTCCTAACCCTGTCGCTGACATCTACAACCAGAGTGATAAACCACCTCCTCTGAACATTCTGACACCGTACAGGTATGGCGTCAGGTGTTCCCGGGGCCTTGTCAGTATCGATAAGTCGAAAGAGGGTGACAGTGCTGTGAAAGTATCTTTCAAACTTTGAAGATAAGAACTGCAGTATTACAATGAATGAAATTAGTCATTGGTACAGTATTGTTAAAGTGTTAATATTTCAAAATATAGATAAACTTATCAAGAAAAGTGTGAGTTCTAATTTTAGCTTTTAAATGTAGACATAAGTGAAAGTGAACACATTACATAACAGTACTGTGTGTATTTATGTTGTTCCTCAGATTCAAAGTCACTCTTAAAGGGACTGCATAATCAGTTAGAATGCAGCAAAATAGCCGTCTCAGCATGTCAGCCCTGCAGAGACATTTGTTATTTAATTTAGAAAAATGTATTCTGCAGCATTTGGGGTTTTCAGGAGTGAAAATATAGTCAACAAATTAACTTTCTGTTATTGTAAAATGGTAGGACACATTATCAGGACCAGACTTCCAAGAAAAAGAATGAAAAATAAATGTGCAAAAAATTAACATTAAGAAGCTATGCTTTTTACAACACCTGTGCTACCTCCCATCACATCAGTGCTTTCTTTCCACATCTCCTGTCACTTCCTTGTCTGTCTCCCTTTTTCATATGCTTTCTCATTGCACATCAAGTTCCTCTCCCATCTTTTTACCTTCTGTGGAGCTCATTCCTTCAGCCTCTGATGAGCAGATGGTGGTGGGGGGTGGCCCTCACTGCCCCAGGATTAGCCCTGTGGGTGATAGTCCTACGCGGGCCTTTCAGATTTCACTGAGTTTTTAGCTTCTTTTTACTGCCTTCGTAGGCCATTGGTCCTCAGGGCTGCCCAGAGTTTTTCTTGGTCTGAATTCCTGTACCTTCTCATGGTCCAAGAGTCCCAGTTTGGACCTATAGCTCTGTTGGCAAAGCAGCAGTTCCCACGACATCCCTTTCTTTCAGGAAGGGGAGAAAGGTTCTCTCAAAAAAAAATGTGAGAGCCCATGGAAACACTGATGGGAGAGGAGCAAGATGCCACATTTTTCTAAGGAACAAGGATACTTTTCTGGAGGCTTTAGCACACTTATTTAAAATTAATGATATATGTAAATAGTGGTATTGTAAGCTGAAGTTTTAACTTGTAATTGTGCTTGTGCTCAACTAACCACTTGCACTTATATGTGAATAATTAGGATCAAGATGAAATATTTGTGATGATCTAAAAATTTTAATTGCATAAAAAACAAATTGATATATATATATATATATATATATATATATATATATTCTATGTGTGTATTCAGTTTTATGGAAAATAAAAATCTCCATGACTTTTTAATAGTGTGTTTAAGAATAGCAGCACCAATTCAAATCTACTTTATAAAAATTTTTAAATTTAATTTTTCATGTCCACTTCTCCTCCTCCTCCCCTTCCCTATAATCACCACACTATAGTCCAGCGGTTCTCAACCTGTGAGTCGTGAACAATGAAAATACATCCTGCATATCAGATATTTACATAATGATTCATAACAGTAGCAAAATTACAGTTATGAAGTAGCAACGAAAATAATTTTATGGTTGGGGGTCACCACAACATGAGGAACTGTATTAAAGGGTCGCGGCATTAGGAAGGTTGAGAACCACTGCTTAGTCCATGTCCCTGAATTCTCTGTTTTCTTTTTTGCTCAGTACAGTAATATTTGGGGTATGTAAAGCACAAACTTTGCATTTGAGCTTAAGTATGACACTGTCCTAACACAGTTAATATATGAGAAATACAATGTGACTGAAAAAATCAAATGTTTAGTTCTATGAACATAGGACATTTCTGCTTATATTTTTATGTCAAGGTTAATATTTGTTTACTTATGTGAGTTTCTGACCTCATTTAAGTATTAGCTTCATTCTTTTAAAATGTGAATTTATTGTACATCTTAAATTTTGCAGCAAGTTCATGCTCAAATTTTCTATATTGTTATCTATATTGAAGGTCTAGTAGGGAAACATGTTTTTCACAATAATGTTTTTAATGAAATCTCTTACTGCACATTGCTTATCAGTTAGAAATTTGGAAAAGAAAGGATTGTAAGTAGTCTGAGGTTAAAGTATAGAGTACAGTGCACTGGTTTTTTAGTGGTTTTCAGAGAGGGGCCAGAATAGCCCTCAGAGGAACGAGACCTTTTTCATTTGATGAGGAGATTACAGGACATGGCAGAGCAGGAGGTGCAAGGACAGACGGCTTTGCCCCTTGAATAATTCACTTAGCTTTCTTTGACTATTTGGGCATAAACTCTTTCCTATACTTATTTCACTAATTTTTGCTTCCTCTCCGTGCCTTAAATGACTTAGTGAAATACTGATATGAAATGTGTTTTTCTTCCTCTTGAAGGTAATCTATAGGCCAGACACTTTTAAAGCATTGATAGACTAGAGTATTTACTTCATACCATGATTAGTTTTAGATTTCTTATTGATTTATATTATACTTTGAAAACATGTTGGCTGCATTATTTTAATGAATAACTTATACAAAGACTTGAAATATTCTCTCTAGACCATAGTAATAAGGGCAGTGCTTGAAAATGAAATGACTACAAGTGATTTTTCTTTGTTGGTTACTTCCACTTTAAAAATATTTCATTACTGTTTTTCTTAGTCACATTTACACACTATGAGTGTTTTTCTTTTTTCCTACGTGAATTTTTAGATATTGGGCAAAACTGATTGAGCAAAGGGGACAAAGTACTTAATAATCTTTATCCTCATAACATCGACACTCCAGAGTAAAAGTAAATGTGTGTGTGTGTAAAGAATCCATCTGTTTCTGTGTATATAGCCCCCTGTTGGAATAAACAGAACATTTCCTAAAGTAATTGAGGTATTGAATATTACTGTTTCTGAGCCATATTGTGATTTTTAGGAACACTTTTCTATATTTAAATCTAAATTTGCAAGAGTACTTTTTACCTAATTATTCTAGAAAAACTTTATGTTCTTAAATATTTACACTTTTTTTTAAGTAAGGAAATCTGAGAAACTTAATAATGTATAGGACAGTTAAAATGCCCCCTGCAGATGCTATAATCTCATGAGTTAAAAGTGAATTAGGTTTGGCTCGTTGAAAAGAGTGTTGGCCCACAGACTGAAGGGTCCCAGGTTCAATTCCGGTTAAGGGCACATACCTAGGTTGCAGGCTCCATTCCCAGCCCTGGTTGGAGCATGTGCAGGAGGAAACCAGTCAATGTGTTTCTCTCACATCGATGTTTCTCTCTCTCTCAAAAAAAAAGTGAATTATGTTATTCCCATATGAAGATATCTAACAGTCTTTCCTCCTCCCCCCCCCCGCCCCCGACTTGTAATATCTTGATTTATAGAGATGATAAAAAGGATGGGCTGAAGTTCTATACTGATCCTTCCTATTTCTTTGACCTCTGGAAAGAAAAAATGCTACAGGACACAGAAGACAAAAGGAAAGAGAAAAGGCGTCAAAAGGTAAATAATTCCATTAGGGGAACTGTGCATATAAATGTGTAAATGGATTCTTGTTTGGAAAGAAATAAGTAAATTCTTTACTTGAATGGTTGAGATGTTGGCTTTAGTGATGAAGGTTTTTTAGAGATTGTAGTTTATACAGGAAGATACAGATAAGTCCGTCTAACACAGTAATACTATTTTTCTGTAAATACTCTTGATTTGTTCTCTAACACTTGCTTTGCTTCACAAAAGTAGTGGCTAAAATTCCAGTTTTGTTTTTAACCATGTTTTAGAACTTTTCTCCTGTTCTTTCAAATTTCATAATGTAGTCAATATTCCATATCAGAAATAATTATTTGCTTCCATCATTTTAAAGCTTTCTTCATAACTGGATTGCCACCTAGCTGTAATTAATGCTTTAGTGAGCTGTTCGTATTGGATTGAAAAGCGTGTGATCGGCAAGTTTAGAAGATGGTATTTACTGGACGTGAGACTCCTTTGGTGGGTAGAGGTAGGCAAGGTCACTGCAAGTCTGAAGGTTGAGAAGCACCGTCTGAAAGGTTGTGAGCACTCTTAGAGGGACAAGCTCACTCTGCAGGTGTGAGGACTTATATTTTGAAAATTGTTCCTTTGGGGCCCAGAAATTAGGTTTAAGCCACTGAGAAGAGTTAATTCTCCAAAGGATAATATTTGCTAAGACTTTTTATATGTAAGCTATGTTTTTTAAAAATGACCATCTGGTTTGCTTGACAAATAATAGAGTGCTTTAAGAGAAATGCTTACCTTTTTGTGGGTTCGAGGTCTTAAGATGTTGAGGCATTTAGGTGACTTAGCTCAATAGGAGAGACAATTTGAGATGGGAGAGAATTTGAAACTAGGGTTTACAACAGAGTACATGTTAACAATGTGCAGACTGTAAGTGTAAGATGTTACCACTGAATTCTAGGAGAGAATTCCAAAGGCTTGCTTTCCTCTTTTCTTGTGCTCATGGGTTGGGATTAACTGGGAAATCTTGGGAGAGTTGCTGAGTACTCAAGTGGAGGATTATTCAAGCTAAGAAACTACGAAGTATTCAAGTGGAGAAAAGGAAGATCCCACTGTCTGGGACAGAAAAAAACAGATACTTAGTCATGTTGGTCTTAATCCCCACACCTCTTAATAGTAACCAGGCAAAAGTCCTTTTAAATTACCCTCTAGGTTTCTCTTCTCAGTGATACTTTTGGCAAAAATATTTAATTTTTCACCAGTGTTCTTCAGGGGAAAAGTCTTAATCTACGTATGATTATGTGTCATTAAATTTAGTATTATTTCCTTGGCAGTTTTGTCTCATTCCACATTGCTCAAACACATAAAATTCTGATAAGGATTTTTTATTCATTCATTTATATAATGATTATGTTTTTTATCTTTATTGTTGAAAGTATTACATATGTCCCCTTTTTCCCTCACTGACCCTTTCTAGCCCTCCCCTGCTCCCACCCCAGGCCTTCACCACCCTATATTGTCTGTGTCCCTGGGTTATGCATATATGCATACAAGTTCTTTGGTTGATCTCTTCCCTCCCCACCCCCACCCTGCTTTCCTTCTGAGATTCAACAGTCTGTTCAATGCTTCTAAGATTCTCTTTAAAAAAAAAAAAGTCTTTTAATGCTGGATAAACAGTGGTGAAAATGACAGGATTGCCACCTCATGGAGATTACAATAGAGTGGGGGAAACTAGCATTAAATAATCATGCAGCCCTCTGGAACTCATAAAGAGGGAAAGAAATTAGAAATTGTAATACAAATCTCCTTTATATAGGAGCAGAAAATGAGGCAAGATATCCGTCATTCTGGAAATTCTCTAGGGTTTCTGGGAAGCAAGTCACTTTCAATTTGGAATTGACAAGTCTATATGAAGGAAAAATTTGTTTAGAAAATTTGGGTGTGAAATCCATTAAAAACATTTTTTAAATTATGCAAGTAAATATGTAGTTGGAAGTATGCAGTTACAATGCTGGTAAGTGTTATGAAGAAGTATGGTGTGCTGGGGGTGAGATGACAAGGTGGGGATGACAGTGAGGAGGAAGTGGAGTGTCAAGGACAGCCTCGGGGTACCTTTCACAGATCCAACCATGGATGGAAGTTAGCCCAAGTCATTGTGTGGGTGCAGGTGTGCTCGTGGGCGCATGTGCGAGCACATGTAGGTGAGAGGGTGCTGGAGGAGTGGAGGGCAGAGAAGAGGCGGGATGCTTCCGAAGTAGCTAAGATCATTCTGGTCTAGGGAACAGTTTGGCATTTTCTAGAGATTTGAATGTAGGCCAGTGTAGTTGGAGCATAGATGCTTCACTATTAACATTTTGTCATATGTGGCTTCTGTGTGTGTGTTGTGTGCATGTTGATGGGTAAATTTGGAGGCTGAACTATTGCAAAGAGAGTTATTATAACAGTCCCTAAATATGTCAGCATTCATCTCTTAAAAGTAAGGGGGATAGTCTAATTAATTTAATACAGTGGTTCTTAATTAGGATGTGTATTAGGATCCATTGAAATCTCCCTCCTTTTTGTTGTTGTTGGTGGTGGTGGGTTTTTTTGTTATTTGTTTGTGTGTGTTTTAAGTATACAAACAATACATGCAGATTGTGAAATGCTCAAATTACACCAAAGTAAATTGGGGATATGTTTTTCTTCCATGGGCATAACTACGTTAACATTTAGCAGCTTGGCACGCATATTTTTAGATTTAGATTTTTTTTCAGTTATTCATAAATATATGCATATACATTTCACAAAGTATTTTTATATGCATAGAATTGTACTACACACAACTTATACACACAGACATACACATATATTGCCATAATTGAAGATGTACTTCATTCTTTTTATGAAGGTATGTAGCATTTTAATAGTTATCATAAACTATTTGCCCATTACTAGAATAATGAATATTTAGGTTGTTTCTAAATTGTTACTATTTACAATACTGTAGTAGATATCTCTGTACTCATGTGCAGATATTCTTCAGAGCAAATTCATAGAAGTCGAATATGAGGTTTAAATTTTGAAAGATACCATCTAATTGCTCCTGACCCTTAAAACACTGAACCATCTATACTCTTAACAGGCCTCCTCCAGTCCTGGATATTATTTTTTTTATGAGCCCTCCTTCCCTCCAAAAGATCTAATTTGCATTACACATCTTTTCATCTTTATTAACCCTTTATATATTTTATGTGGATTTCATGTTTACCTTCTTTGCCAACACATTGTCTGTACCTCCTTTTTACCCAAAAACAGTCTAGTCGTTGTGTCTTCACTGCCACCATGAGCCGCCTACCGTCCTCACTAGACCACCTGAATAGCTTTCTACCTTTCTCCTTCAGTCTGTGCTCCCCAGCCTAGAGGGATCTTTTCAAATGCCTCTTCTTCAGTATGTCAGCCCTTCCCTTCTTATTCATCAGTGCTTTCCCACTATTCTTGGGATAAAGAACAACATTTTTAACGTAGCCTTTAAGGCAGTGATGGCGAACCTTTTGAGCTTGGCGTGTCAGCATTTTGAAAAACTCTAACTTAACTCTGGTGCCGTGTCACATATACAAATTTTTTGATATTTGAAACCGTAGTAAAACAAAGACTTATATTTTTGATATTTATTTTATATATTTAAATGCCATTTAACAAAGAAAAATCAACCAAAAAAAATGAGTTCGCGTGTCACCTCTGACACGCGTGTCATAGGTTCGCCATCACTGCTTTAAGGTCTTGCTTACCTTTCGGCTCTTTGGGGCCATTAACCTTCATTTGCCTCTCACCTTTTATTTCTCCTAAGTGGTGCTCTTCCTCCTCCTGGGAGCCCATGCCCACTCTGTCCCCTCTTACCTGCTCTGACGGGCTCCCTGCAATCCATGCCAGTCACACGCAGGTCCTCCTCCCACTCACTCCTTGACGCTGTCCCTGACTTTCAGCCTAGACAGCATTCTACACATAGTGCATTTATGTTTTACTACATTTTATAATTATACATTTATTTCTGTGATGTTGTAGGCTCCCCCCCCCCGCCCCCCGACTGCAAGCTCCATGAGGGCAGACACCCGTCTTGTTGTTGTTGTTTTCCTTTTGTATCATCAATGCCTGGCATGTTTGAGACATAGCATGCCCTGTAAGCTCACTGGATTTGATCATTTAGTCAGCATTGATTGAGTGTGCACCCTAGGTAAATGACGTGTGGAGGGACTGTAAGAGGAGTGTAGAACTTAGAGGCACATAGTTCTTGTCCTTAGAGATCATAAAATTTTATAAGGGAAACGGGAAAAATATATAAACAACAGAAATAATTGTTCTTGCCTTTAAAGAAGTACCCATGTAGGACAAGTATTTATTGGATACATTTTTGCTGGCAAAGTAGGGTTGGGACAAGAATGAGTCTTTGTATGGGAAGGTAAGTTCGTACCTTATTTTTGTTTTGGGTTTGGCTCATTGCAGGATTAGCTTAAATATTTCTTTTAGAAACTGGAAATAGAACATTTTGAATTTTTTTTGAAAGATTGCATGTTAACAAGCCAGTCAAAATTGTATAGGGGTGGGAAATGATTTCTCTGAATGGTGCCATCTGACATTTCATCTGTATAATATAGATCTAAAAGGTATAGTATATTTAAAATAAGCTAAATGCCTAGTAAGATGAAAATTCGTTACTAAAAATGATAGTAATTCTGGTAGTTGCAGCAGAGTAATTTTCATTTATTTGGGTTAAATAGTTAAGTATTTGTTACCTTTGGGGGGATCTGTGTTGGGTAAGAGTAGGCACTGTGTTAGAATTTTCTAACATTATCTGCACATCATGCTTATGTCCCTAGCATTATAACTGCATTTAACCTGTTGTCCTTTCTCTCCTGTCTCGGCATGCTTGCTTTCTTTTCTTGGACTTCAGGAGCAAAAGCGTATAGATGGCACAACCCGTGAGGTGAAAAAGGTTAGAAAAGCCAGAAACAGGCGCCAGGAGTGGAATATGATGGCATATGACAAAGAGCTCAGACCCGACAACAGGTTGTCTCAGAGTGTGTACCACGGAGCGTCTTCCGAGGGATCCCTGTCCCCAGATAGTGTGTGTGTGTGTGTGTGTGTGTGTGTGTGCGTGCGCGCACAGTAATGCCTCTGAGTAGTGCTTCATTTTATTTATTCCTTGGACATGACTGGTAATAGTAGCTTTGGTGTTTATAAGGCCACAGAATGTTTCACATCTTTTCTTAAAAATAAATTTTATATATATACATGAATTTTGAAATAATATTTTAAAGTAGTTTTATTTTGCATTGGGTCACATTGTATGATTTTTCATATCTCTGACTTACTTTCTTGTTCAGTTAATCTAGATATGTAGTGTGTTAACCTGGATTCTGAATTTGGGCTTAATGACTGCCAATGACTTACATTTTTATTTTAATCATTTAATTCTTTGTCTTACTCTTTAGCTTAGAGTTGAATTTCTTTTGCTATTTGATATCAAAACGATTGGTAGGTAGCAATTGATGTGGTCAAGGAATAATTTCTTTGTGCTTTTTGGTGACCTTTGTAAAAAGTGACGAGCAAAAGGTATTTATTTTTTCAGTTCACTAATCTTATGTGCTCTGATTTCAGGAGAATTCTGTTGGTGTTTACTTTAAAATTATGTTAGCAATTAAGTAAAAATATTTCTTGCAGGTGTGAATGATGCGGTCAATAAGTCACATTTGTCACAGAAGGGATTCATTGAACAACAGGGACTAACTAGTCAATTTTAACTTACGGTTTAATTTCCTATTTCTGCTCTTGTAAAGTTGTTGTCTTGCATTTGCATAATCTCTCTAAGTCTTCCATCAGCATTTAAAAATCCAAACAGAGAATTCCTATGTGATTGAAGGATGTTTCAAAAACAGCAACAACCTGGACCTGGCCTTCGATCTGTGTCCTTTTAAAATAAATTTTGTCTTTATAATTTCAGTGCTTAGCACAGACTGCATATAGAAGCTGCTTAACATTTGCTAGTTACAGGGACTGTGAATGTTCCTGCCCCAGAAGGGCTGTAAATCATTGGTTGGATATGAGGCAAGTTCTAGGTAATTTTTCTGTAGAAGTTGTTATCTGCTAAATATTAGAGAATTATTAGAGCTTTAACTGAGCTCTAGTCTCAAGGTTGGATCTTTATGTCAGTTTGTTTCTGTCGACAATTCTACGCATAGTTCTTTGGATGGGAGAAGCACTTAAATCTGAGCGCTCCCAATATGTCCGTTTGCTTTTTGTTGTTTTTTTTCCAGCTAATTTAGCTGTATTGTTTACTCATGCAAAACACATACTTTATTTTATAATACTCTGTATGCACTCTTATTTCAATATGTACAGACAGAAAAAAATGATTTTTTAATCCCTCAGTTGAATGATTGATGCTCATTCTAACATCTGAGATTAGATTGCTTCATGCTGGGTATAAAATTATGCAGATGATTTAGTATCTGAATTTTTATATTTTTAGATATATCTTTACTTCTTTTATTTTTCAAAAAGCAAATAGATTAATCAGTTTTGTTTCTTTAGAATTTCCTTTTGTCTCATACTGTTTTTCATGGCCTCTCACTATATGCATGTACCAGATAAGTAGATTATAATTAATATTGTACTTGGATTACATCCCTAAAATTAATTTAGAATTTTTTTATTTCACTAAAGTGTATCACTTTTTCTTATTATAAAGTAATTTTTTTATATTTGGAAATTACAGAAAACATTAAAATATTATCCATAATCCTATTATCCAGAGAAACCACTATCTGCATTTTAGTGTACTTTTTCCCCTTTTGTCTTTTTCCTATAAAGATGTAAATGTTTTTTACAAAATTGGAATCATGCTCTATACTTTCTGCCTTTTGACTTTTTAATGTTTTGTATTCATATTTTAAGTATTATTTAGAATCATGGTTTTTAAATAACTGAGGAAATTTTGAATATTAAGTTTTATGGCTTGTATATAATAAAACTGTTCATATAAGTAATATATTTTGTACATAAAAATGGTTCATATACACTAATCATACATTTTTGCTCTCTCTGTAGATTATCAGCAGTGGTTTGATTTTAAGTGTAAATTCAGGATGAAAATTGATTAAATGCTTCCCCCCGGCTCTCTCTCACTATGATCTGGGAGAGTGAGACCTCCACGCCCAGCTGTCCTTGAGCTATTTCTCATCCTCTTCCAGGCCCTGTATTACAGCTCTGACTCTGCCCACCTGTCCACCCACAAAACCCTGGGGAGTCCCTGGCTTCTCCCACCACGTCTCCACTGCTTACACTTCTTCCTGTTTCCATATCATCTCACTCCTACCAGTTCTCTCTCCTGTAACAGGAGGTCACAGGACCAGTCCTCTCATCTCCACATTGGTGTGTGTCTCTGTAGCTGCTTTCTACCTTCCCGCATGGGGCTCTCTGTCTCCCACAGTCACCCCACTCCTCACCTCTCCTCCAGCCACTGGGCTCCCCTTTAAATGAGCCTTCACTCTTAAACCAGTCCTCTGTCCTGCCCACCCTCCCTCCAAGTCCTGCCCTCCACAGCCCTCCTGCTGTAATTCTCGAATTCAGACATTCACTGCCTGTTCCTTTATTCACTCACCGGTCTGGTTATCCTCCTTTGTATTGCCTCCTTTTGGCTGTGTCACAAAGCTAGTTATAAGGACAGCACTCTACATTATTCCAGAATATTTATAATTTCTGGCTCCTCATCTCATGAGAAGTGCTCTATATTTTTCTAGATCACTTTGTTTCCTTTAGAAATTGTACACATAGAGTATGACATAGTCACATACAGAGTCAAACATACATCCCCAAGGACTCCAGGGTTTTAGGTATTTACATTGTGAAAATATGCTAGGTTGTTCCCCCATTAAAAATGTTTTTAACTTACTTGCCAGCAGTTTGTATAGTTCAAAAGATATAATCATATGCACACCGTAATATAGAATTTATACTGCCGTTAGGGAAGGAAAAGTGAATTATTATTATTACACTGCAATTGAGGGGGGGCAGTCTCTCTTCACGTGGAGAGCTTTTTCTGTGTCTGAGATGCTCCAGTTAAGGGAAGCTACTGTCTGATTCCAAGATCCAAGTTCAGTTGGTGTTTCCCCTGCTCCTCCACATCCCCTTGTGTGTCTGCCTGTTTCCTTCAGAGAGAGAAACACAAGCTGAGTCCTACCCGAAGCCAGCAGATACACGTGAGAAAAGTCAGAACAAGAAAAGAAGAGTGGGAGAGGAGGAAAATGGGCATTGAGTTTATGAGTGATGCCAGGACACTGGAACAGGCAGGGAGCACGAAAGAGGACAGAGCGCCCAGAGGGTTTGTCGTTTTGCTCTCTGCATTGCCGTCCTCAGGCTGCCCACCCTGCTTTCGCCATCATGAGAGGATGTGCAGCCCCCATACTGACCACGTGTCCTGTAACCGGGCCAGGAGCACCTCCCTTACTAACACCATTTTGTGCAGCTGTGACCTTTACAAGTCCCTGTGCCCCCTCACAAAGGCCTCTGTCTGTCTGAGCTCCGTCAACTAATATACAGTCTCCATCCCTTTCAGAGTTTCGCCCACGACTGTGCATTCAGAGAAAGCAGGAAGGCCCTTCCATATTGCACCATGGTCTTTCTTTTTTGGCTAAACACATTTCTTCTGTTCAAGAAAACAATTTTTCACTGCACTGCATTCTTGCTTTCTTTTTCTGTTCTTACTGTTGATATTTACCCAGTTTATCTGCCATTTTGTAATTTCTAATGATACGCTCTCAGCTTCCTGGCCCCCGAAGTCCTCTGTTTTTGAATTAAGTGGGACTTGTCTCGTGGCCTTCTCTCTTAAGACCGTATGCTGATGTGGTGTGAAATGGGGCTCTGCTTGCCCGTCTGTCTGACATGCTCACTTTAAAGCCGTGAGTCTGACTCCACGTAACACCGGGCTCGCTGCTAACGTAGTCATTACGTTGTTGCTTGGAAGCTCTCATGAGGCTGGGCCTAGTTTACAGTAAAGGAAATAAATGTGTGATTTCTGTGTATTGGCAATGTTATTATTCAAATATATGCTTATATGCTGGTTAGTGGAAATCTTTTGAACTTAAATTTCTCCCACCCTTTTCTTGAATGCCAGGTCTCACGCTTCAGATGTCACAGATTACTCCTATCCAGCGACTCCCAACCATTCTCTGCACCCGCAGCCCGTCACCCCTTCATACGCAGCAGGTGACGCGCTGCCACTTGGGCCGGCCAGCCAGGCCCCCGAGCATGAGTACCGACCCCCCTCTGCCTCGGTGAGACACATGGCCCTGAACAGACCTCAGCAGCCACCTCCGCCACCCCCACCACAGGCCGCAGAGGGGTCCCAGGCCTCGGCACCCATGGCTCCAGCAGACTATGGGTAATTTCGTATTCCTTGTACTCTAATTGCTACTCACTCTTGCAATGGAATCTTGCTATGTGTGTTTAAGAATTTCAATTAAATAGTCACACTTTAGAGGCCAGAGGCCAGCCCAGAATGACTGAATGTGGAAACTATTGGTTATGACAAGTTCTGTTAAAAAATACAGTGTCGTGCTGTTCCCTTTTCTTATTATAGATAAATCTCAGGTTTGTGTCTGTATTCATGTGTATACTCATTAATACACGTATTTGTGTATGTGTGAGTGGATCGTTAAGCAGAGACATTGATAAAGGATGGAACTCCGATTCTGTGAACCTGTCCCAAATCCTCAAATTTCTCTATACCAGTATATCCTGGGTGAACCAGGGAGAATTCATACCACAGATGAGAGCACCATGCAGTGCAGCACCCCGTGCCTCCCTTCTTACACTTGGCTGTATAATCTCCTTTCTTGACCTCTTCGTGCCCACTCATCATTCTCCCACCTTGTTCCCTGTTGATCAGTGAAATTCAAACCACCCTAGGAAAGACCCTCATCTTCGGGTGGTTAGTAATTTAAGCACCCACCTATATTTTCATGGGCTGCCTTAGCACTCCCTTTTTAATATTGAAGAGTTACCCCTCAGAGGCAGTACCCAGGAGAGTCGAATGTGTGTTTCCATTAACCATGTATCCAGAACAGCATGTGTCAGTTTCTAAACGTACATCCCTCAGCTTTCGGGGGCATCCTCCCTGACCACACAGCTCTGGCTGTTTCTTATCGTTGGTTCTTGTTAAGTCAGGACTCCCAAAGTTTGTTCTGAGGCTCTAATTGTCAGGTAAGAAGAGAGTCTGGGGTCCAGCTGGTTTGGAAAACCTTAGACTAAATAGAATTCAGATTTCTTGGCTGTAGGACTTTTCAAAGCTTTTGATATTCTGATGGACAGTGTGGGCTTGGGGAATTTCCATGGAGCTGAGATACAAAATACAGAATTTTCCAAATCTGATTGGCCACAGAACCCTTATAAGACAAGTTTGTGAGCCACCTGCTTTTGAAATGCCCAGTATAAAGGAGGCATTTGTGTTGCTCCTCTTACCTAGCATTTCACAGGAAATTCCTCTTTGAGTGGTTATCTTTTGGGTGCATTTCAGTGAATGACGTGAACTCTGTCGTAGTGAATAATGTAAACCTGTGGAAATAACTGACCCAACAGTGGATATTGCATCCTGCAGTGTCTTAAATCCAAATGACACTATGTATTGTGTTTGGGGGAGGCCTTTCTACTAGCCATGTCAGAACCTCAGGTGTGACCCTCTGTTGCTGCTTTAATGACTCTGTGTTTCCTCTCTCATTAGGATGCTCCCAGCCCAGATCATTGAATATTACAACCCCTCGGGACCACCTCCGCCCCCTCCACCCCCCATGATCCCTTCAGCACAAACTGCTTTCGTCAGTCCTCTCCAGATTCCCATGCAGCCCTCCTTCCCAGCAGCAGCTGGGTCCTCCTACCCAGTGCCTCCTCACCCGCCCTCCACTGGGCTGGTGGTCACAGCCCCGCCTCCTCCGGGCCCCCCACCTCCCCCGCCAGGCCCTCCTGGCACAAGCTCTTCTCTCTCATCCTCCCCCATGCATGGCCCTCCAGTAGCTGAGGCAAAACGACAAGAAACTGCACAACCACCCATAAGCGATGCGCGCAGTGATCTTCTTGCTGCTATTCGAATGGGTAAGTGAATCCCCTACATGTGCCATCTTCCATTCAGAAAGAGATTTCTATCTCCAACCAGCTATAGCCTGGTCTTCAGGGGACTCCTCTCTACACGAGATTGTTTTTTAGAATATGGTTAAAGGACCTTTATTTGCTTTTTAAAAAATAGTAATGTGGTTTTGTCTGTGCAAAGTAAACATATGATAAAGAACTGAGAATTCAGGAAAGGTTTACTTGACTAGAAATAAATATTGACTATTTTGTCTGCATTCTACTCTAATGGTAAAAGTATAAATGAAAGAAAATGAGCTCATGTTAGTGATTTTGTTTTTATAAATATCTAATATGTCCTAGACTTTCCATATTTTTAGCTTGATGTGCTAAGCCAGTAGTTTGCAGCATTTACATAGCAGCAGAACTCTGTCAGATGGGAGTCCTACACCAAACCCCCAGAACATGAACCAAGAAGGCAGAACATCTCTGTCAAATCAGAGTGGGGAGCCTCCCCACTGTGCCTCCCTGCAGAACCCCACATTAAACCCCTGCTGCACACCATGCATTCTTTACCTCAGGTCCCAGCCCAGCTTGGTTGAGGGTCACCGCCAGGGTGTGGGAGTACGTGTACTCTAAACGCTTCTCATACGCTGAGGAGCCGCCCAGGCACTTGGTCGCAGTTAGTTGCTCCCGTCTGGAAGTGACTGAGGGAGCAGCTGGAGCGTCTGTGATGCCCTTTGCAGACACCTCTGCGCCTGGCTGCAGCACCCGGGTCAGGCCTCCTACAGATCCCAGGTTTCTCGTCTGTCTTGAATGTCCCACAGCTATTTAATGCCTCGGAGATAACGAATTTGGGGTCACAAGAGGACAGTGTTTTGATTTTTGACACTGTGAGCCCTGCCCAGGAACAGTGATAACTGTAACTATCTTTCCATGAGAAAACCTCTGAGGAGCCCATATTGAGGGCATTCTACAAAACTGCAGTCATAAAACACCAAGGCTGAAGAACTGCCTAGATTAAGGATCATTATTGAAACACCACAACTAATGTAACAGATGATCGGTATTGAATCCCAAACCTGGTGGAAACTTTTTTCATTTGCTATATTAGGTCTGTTGGCAAAATTTAAATAAAATTTGTAGACTGGATGGTAGCATTATATCTACGCTGATCTGAATTTGATCATTGTTTTTTAGGAATTACGCATAAAGTACTTTAGGGGTAAAGGGCAAAATAGCAAATTATATGCTACTTATTTTCAAATTGTCCAGAAAAAAGTATCTGTGTGTATTAATAACAATGATGGAGAAAGATTGCTAAAACAAGTGTGATCAAATGTTACCCATTGGGGAATCTGGATGTAGGTCATATGGGAACGTTTTGATACTAGTGTTACAGAATTTGCACATTAAATCATCATATAATCCATTTTGTTACTAGGTAAGAGAGATGTTTTTATTTTATATCCATTTTCAACAATAATTGTTGAAGCAAAGTTTTCTCAGTTACCTCCGCGGGTTAGAAAAGAGCTGTCCACACCTGTTGGGGAAAGTGTTCTTTAATGATAGAAATGTCTCGTGTTCACACGGTCCCGCGAGGTGGCCACAGCCACTGTCAGTTTGCCCAAAGCAGCTGTTGTGGCTCGTGGACCCTGTGTTGGACAGCATAGCTCTCGGGTTTTCTTTAAAGGTGTTCACACCATTACTTTGCTGTAAAAATTATGTACATTCTTTCATTAGTCATGAAACTTCTATTTCCCAAGCTTTTCTCCCTTCAAATTTCCAAAACTGTTTTTATCCTTAATGTCAATAAGAGAAAAAAAAGTCAAGTAGACATACTAGTTTGTTTTTCCTTAATTTGAAGCAGGCAAAGGATTTAATTCTAAACCGTGCATTGCATCTTCTAGGAATTCAGCTGAAAAAAGTACAAGAGCAGCGTGAGCAAGAAGCCAAGCGCGAGCCGGTTGGGAATGACGTGGCCACGATCCTGTCCAGACGCATTGCTGTGGAGTACAGCGACTCGGACGACGACTCGGAGCTGGATGAAAATGACTGGTCTGACTGAGGTGGCGGGGGCAGCCTGGCCACGAGGCTGGTGGCCAGCCAGGAAACCGTGTCGGAAGTGTATTGAAAATTTTAAGTGGTCTCAACACCCAAATAGTGGTATTATAATCCTGTAGCTTAGCAACTTTTGTATTAATAATGTGATAATTGCTTTTGCACATCCAAAACTTCTGGGTTCTTTCAGTATTTACTGTGTAATACTTAAGTGCCACTACACATAGAAAATCGTGCTGCACCTGAGGAAATAACGCTGTAACTATTGCATTGTCCTGAAAACAGCATTTTGCTTCCTTTTTCCTGGCCATGAAAGTGTTCAGTGCAGTTTGGGTTTACTCGTACCTTACAATTCTGCAGACTTGCTGTGTGTTTGTGAAGCTGCTTAGTGTTAGGCCTCAGCAAGATTAATGACTACGCGTTGACGTCTTCCAATCAGTAAGTGATACTGTTTCAAATTTTTGTGTGTGTTTCAGAAGAGAGAAACATTTCGTTAGAGAGAAAGATTTAACAAATAAGGAGAATCAAATGCTTCTGCTTTCATTTTCTTGGAGTGGTACATTCTGTGAACTTGAATGTTTCGTTGAATAATTTCATTGCCTTTGCACGCTCTTATAAAAGGTGAAGTTGGAAGGGCCTTTTCAGCAGGCCTCCCGGTGGGCATTTAGTCAGTGCTTGTGGATGCTTTTTGTAAGAGGTAAGCAGCTCAGTCGTAATAAAAATGAAGAACAGGGTTCTTTTTCCTTCGGGGCTGTTGGCGATGACACTCAAAACATTCGACAGCCCTTCTTGTGGGCACCAGCCAGGTTGAGCGGTCTGGGAGCCACGGCCTCGCTGGGTAGAGCTGCTGAGCGTGGGCTCTGAGTGCGAAGGAGACCTTCGCCTTTTGCTTCCGGGAGCCCGGGCCTAAGTGAGGTCCTCTGTGCGCTCCAGATGGCACCCCGCTCCCCTTGGTCTGAACTTCAAAAGCCTAGGTGTAGGCGAATGCAGGTGTTGAGAGCTCTTTGCTTTTCCTGTGCTGTGGCCAGGTTAGGGATCCATCACAGGAGCGGGCTTTCGCTCTGTCCTGGAAGCACGAGGTTCTCTCCTCACATTGTCAGCACATGACATTTTAAAAAACACCTCAGGTTAGATTAGACCTGTAGCTGTAGCAGGTCAGGTTCCTTTACCCTTTCCCTCCCTACTTTTCTCCCCACACCGTCCCATGGGGTTCATATTCCTGGTGAAGGCAAACCGTGGGGAGACTCATGAATGAGAGCTTATGCTCCGTAATTTTGGATGCAGGATAACTGCTCATCCAGCATAAACAAACACCCAGGCTTTGACTATAAATAAGACAGCACAAAACACTAAGACACTTTACTTACTAGGGATTTGTGCCAAGGCCCCACATTTCAAACAGGTGGCAGGTACTAGTGACGCTCAGACATGGCGAAGGAATCTTTAGCTGAAGAGTTGATTGGGTTGATGGTAGGAATGTAAACAGGACTGTAGCTGGTAGAGTTGTGCTAACAAGTTCATCTGAGGAAATCAGCCGGCCCCCAAAGCATGTCTGTGTCCCTGAGTGGACATTGGCGTGGCTTGTACGCAGTCCTCATGGAAGGCCTGTACGTTGGGTTTCAGTCACATAAATTTTGAAGCTCTGAAAGCCTCATGTCTGCACCCCCTTTCGAAGACCATGCTTATGCCAGGTCGTCGAGTCTTCATCGGCACATGCTTCTTGAGGTTCTGTTTCTTGGAGCTAGTCACCATTTGGCTCTCAGCATAATTTTATTAAATAGAAGAAATAATTTATTAACCTTTAATTTCTTTCTTTAATTTCTCCTTTTTTTTCAGTGTAGAGGCCTACTCTCTTAGCATTATTCTTGGACTTTTCATTTTTTTAGTCTTATTTTGTCTTTATTACAGTATTTTGGTTTTTTTGTGCTTTGGATTAGGAGTAACCTGTGTAATTCTAGCACTCACATTTGGTGATGCTTCTTTGTTTCTCCTGTCCTTTCTGTTCTCAGGATGGAGAAGATACATAAAGCTACTATCTACTAGTAAGTAAGGATTTCTTCTGTTTAGAGCTCATTACCATGAAATCAGTGGTACTTTATTCATAAATATTCATAAGCCTATTAGTTATTAGTTGCCTGTAGTTTAATCAGTAAGTTATTTTCAACTTGATTTTCTGTAGTGAAAAAGCTTTTGCCCTGATGTGTAAAAGGACTAAAATTCAATTTAGATTATTTTTGCAGTATTTTTCTCAATAAATTTGATTCTAAAATTTAAATTTAGACTTTTTCTAACATGGTATTACATGAAAAGGAAAAAGTGAATATTTTGAATTTTCAGTTTTCATTTTCAAGAAGTATTTACTAAGACAAATGGAGAAGAACATTTAAAAGCTTACTTCATACCTATGAATTTTACATTGTAAAGTAGTTATATATTATTGTAAGGTTATTTTAAATTGTCCCCAGTCTTCCCCCCATGTATATTTTAGTTTAATATTTTACAAGCTTTCTTTCATATTAATAGGTTAGGCAGAGGGGATGAGAAGATCAGTCAGTGTCACACATTAGCGACACAAACACGATATGGTTGATTTTCTGTTGTTAGCCCAAAACCACACCATAGGATTTGGTACCCTTACATTTTTCTTTAGGAAAAGTATACTGTTAAAGAATTGACATTTTCATTTTAGTAAATGTTTAGAATATCAAAATCTTTTCTTAGCACCCAGTGGCTAGGTTGTGAAAGTTTTGTAATAATTTGCAACTGAAATACATGATACATTTTAATCCATTAAAGGCTAGTGGGACTGTATCAGCCAGAGTAACAAGGACTTTTTGTGTTCTATTCAGAGTATCTGTCATCCTGCACTGTTACCAATGCTATTGTAAATTAAATTTAAAGTGGTCTTAAAAAAATTCCTGTTAAACAATTTTTATCTGTTTGTATATCTTACTATAGATTATGTACAAGTAACATCTAAATAAAATTACACTTTTAACCCTAAAAAGTTGAGCTTATTTATAACAGTGTTATGAAGGTAAGCCGTTACTGTCCTGTACAAGTCACCTGCTGGCCAGTTTCTGGCCTCATGGAGCTTTTAGTTTAAGGAGAGAGACATTAAATATTGTAAAGAAAGTAACTGGGATCATTTCACATGTGCTTTAGTTGGGGGTGGAGTGGGACTGCCCAGTGTGTGGGCTAACGAAGCTGAGGTCTAAGAATGAACAGAAATTAGTGAGGGGCCAATGGTAGGAAAAGGAGTTCCTCAACAGCAGGGAAGGGCAGCATTTGCATTCCCTAAGGTGGGTGAAATGGAAGGCGCGAAAGGAAGAGGAAGTGCCGTGAGACTGGAGACGGAGGTGGTGGAAATCTCCACGTCCTCTGCACTCAGGATGGGGGCTGCCACCACAGCGGCAGCTACAGATGTACGGCAAAGCTCTCCATATGTGCGGCCTATTGATTCTTCAGGGATCTTACAGCCTCACGCCTCAGACATACCATTCTGTTTAGAAGGCATCCTGGTGTTCAGCTAGTTCAGCCCTAGTGCTGAAGATGGGAAACACCATTACATGCACTGCTTGGCTCTCAAAGCTTGGTCTCTTAATTCCTGAATTTTCTGTGATCCTCCTGTTACACAATAGACCTTTAAGAATTAGGCACATATCCCTCTTCCTCAGTATTTTATTATGAAAAAACTTAAAACTACAAGAAAATTGTTCAGTAAGTGCCCATATACCCATATCTGTCCATCTATCAAGTCACCATATTTTATGCATTTCAAAGTAAGTTCCAGTATACTTCACCCCTGAACACTTCAGTGTCCATATCATAAATTAGAGTTTAATATTTGCACTTAATATTTTTTTAAGTATATTTTTATTGATTTCAGAGATGAAGGGGGAGAGAGAGAGACATCAGTGATGAGAGAGAATCATTGATTGGCTCCCTCCTGCACATCACACACTGGGGATTGAACCCTCAACCTGACCATGTGCCCTGACCGGAAATCGAACCGTGACCTCCAGGTTCACAGGTCAACACTCAACCACTGAGCCATGCCAGCCGGGCTGGATATATCGTTGTTTTTTTTAAATTAAATCTTTATTGTTCAGATTATTACAGTTGTTCCTCATTTTTCCCCCCATAGCTTCCCTCCACCCGGTTCCCACCCCACCCTCTGTCCTCATCCATAGGTGTACGATTTTTGTCCAGTCTCTTCCCACACCCCCCACACCTCTCCCCCCCCCCCCGAGAATAGTCCACTCCCTTTCTATGCCCCTGATTCTATTATATTCACCAGTTTATTCTGTTCATCAGATTATTTATTCACTTGATTTTTAGATTCACTTGTTGATAGATGTGTATTTGTTGTTCATAATTTGTATCTTTACCTTTTTCTTCTTCTTCCTCTTCTTAAAGGATACCTTTCAGCATTTCATATAATACTGGTTTGGTGGTGATGAACTCCTTTAGCTTTTTCTTATCTGTGAAGCTCTTTATCTGACCTTCAATTCTGAATGATAGCTTTGCTGGATAAAGTAATCTTGGTTGTAGGTTCTTGGCATTCATCACTTTGAATAGTTCTTGCCACTCCCTTCTGGCCTGCAAAGTTTCTGTTGAGAAATCAGCTGACAGTCATATGGGTACTCCCTTGTAGGTAACTCACTGTCTTTCTCTTGCTGCTTTTAGGATTCTCTCTTTGTCTTTTGCTCTTGGCATTTTAATTATGATGTGTCTTGGTGTGGTCCTCTTTGGATTCCTTTTGTTTGGGGTTCTCTGTGCTTCCTGGACTTGTAAGTCTATTTCTTTCACCAGATAGGGGAAGTTTTCTGTCATTATTTCTTCAAATAGGTTTTCAATATCTTGCTCTCTCTCTTCTTCTGGCACCCCCATAATTTGGATGTTGGTATGCTTGAAGTTGTCCCAGAGGCTCCTTACACTATCTTCATATTTTTGGATTCGTTTTTCTTTTTGTTTTTCCGGTTGGGTGTTTTTTGCTTCTTCATATTTCAAATCTTTGACTTGATTCTTGCGATCCTCTAGTCTGCTGTTGGAACTCTGTATAATATTCTTTATTTCAGTCAGTGTATGCTTAATTTCTAGTTGGTCCTTTTTCATAACCTCGAGGGTCTCACTAGATTTCTTGAGGGTCTCACTAAATTTATTGGCGGTTTCTAGAAAATTCTTCAAAAACCATATAACCGTGGTTTTGAACTTTATACCCAGTAGTTTGCTTTCCTCCATTTCTGTCATTTGTGACCTGTTTCTTTGTCTCCGCATTTTGGCTGCTTCCCTGTGTTTATAGAGTGGCTTTGTGTGCTAGGTGTCCTATAGGGCCCAGTGGCTCAGCCTCCCCAATTACCTGAGGTGGACACTCTTGGTGCACCCCTTTGTGGGATGTGTGCACAGTCTTGTTGTAGTTAAGCCTTGATTGTTGTAGGTATCACTGGGAGGAATTGACCTCCAGGCCAATTGGCTGTGAGAATCAGCTGTGTCTGCAGTGGGAGAACTTCTGTGCTGGAGACACCCTTATGGGGCACGACTTGCTTCAGTGGGGCTTTGGTGCT